TGTCCATTCCAAGTAAAGAGAGCTGCAGACTGAAATGCCTTATTTCAGTGCTTAGTTCTGACCTTTGGAACAGACGGTGAGAAAAGTTCCTGGGAGTAGAAACGAGAAGTAGAACGACAGGGTCCAGATCACGTGAGCTCCGAGAAGAGGGCAGAGCACACCTCCTCACTGTTTCATGCTCATACATGAAAAACTAAGGCAGAGAGAGCAGCAGCTAAATGTTATAAGGAGGAACTGGAGCAGAGGCGGGTTGCAAAGTGGTTTGCATTGGAAGCAGAAAGAGTGAACAGGCTCAGGTAGTTTAAATACGACGTCTGGTGTGACATTTACCAGTTTGATGCATAGAAGGTATTTGCAGGGGTTCGGATCAGCTGATGTTCCACGGTCTGGACTGATACTAAGCTTGAGAGTCAGGGCCAAACAGCACAACACAGTCTCATCAGCTTATCAATGATTGTCCTGTAAACCTGATCTGTACTGCGCATGTGTGAAACCTATGTCACTTCCTCTACTAGCCATCTTTATGACAGCTTCAGCATCAGCGAGCTGGCTTCAGTCAGAAAGGATGCTTCAGTTTATCACCAGCTACATGCTTCTTTTTTCTCCTGAAGCAGAGCGCTGGAAAGTCAAGAGAATGGCGCCCAGTTTTACGATTAAATGATACTACTCCAGCTTAATTGTAAAATTGCAACGTAGTTAGAAAAGGCTTGAATGAATGTGAATATATCGGTGTTGGAATTGTACACTGTATAAAAATGCTGAAATTCATTGTCCAGAATGTGTCGGTTTTTTGGTAATAAATTTAATTTCTAAATAAACGAAAATAAATCCCCCCTTGATACTTTGAAAAGTCAGAGAACTGTAATTTTAGCCGGGTGGCGGCGCTCTCTGTGGCCCAAAAGGTCTCACCGTGCTGGGCAGGAGCTCTGGCGAATGCCTCAGCAGTAGCTCTGGAGCCTCCTGCTGGCTAGCCTGTCACATCGCCAGCTTGTTTCTGAAATCGATTAGTAGTTTAAATAAAGTTTTTAAGGTGAAATAAATTTGCACTTGCACAGTTCGGATCGGGTAGGAGGCGACTCGCTGCCGTAAAATACAATGAAGTGCCAAGCGAGGAAGTGACGTACATTTCCCACATGTGCAGTACAAATCAGGTTTCTGGGATGGCTCGGGTAGCGACAGTGATAATTAATATTCTCAACATTTTGATTGAAAATTTGTGGTCCGAGGATCGACCCCTGATGAACTCCTTTGGTCAATTTAAATGAACCAGGAGTGAATCATGTGTGTGTGTGTGTCTGAGGGCATTAATATTGCCAGTTGATGCATTGATCAAAAGTTATCTTAAGGCTAATTTACATGTGCAGTCTCTTGTCAGGTTACGCTGGATTATTCCTGCAAAGATCTGCTTTTTATCGTCCTTTCAAAGATCTATGCATCACAGAGTATTTTGTTTATGTGGTGACAGCAGCTAAGAGGATCTTGTGCAGTCAAAATAGACGTCTCTGCATGTTTAAGGTTTTAACATTTTTATCTCTGGGTCCACGGGTCTACTGTATAATATAGCCACCCTGGCTGCTCTGCACTGTATACAGTAGTGTATAATTATGTCGTTATTTTGGACACATCTCCTGGCACACACTGTCACACTCCTTCCTCTTCTTGGTGCAGTTTTCATGGTCGAGGCTTGAGCTGCTTTGACTTTTATTACTGAGTCTTAAACTTACTCTCTGTTGCAGCATAAATAAACTGTTTACTCTGTACAAAATTATTTTTATGTTAGTTAGATTTGAATGATCATGAAGTATTCAGATTATGAAGAAGCTTCGTCTTCATCCTCGACTTTGCTGTCTCCTGTTTGATGCTTGGAAGTTAACTATCAAAGATATTTGTAACACCAGATAAGCTGATAAATCTCTGCAGGCAAATCTTTTTATTTTCTTGTTAAAAAACAGAATAAAATCAATTTAAAAAACTACATCAAGTGGCAGGAAAATAGTTCTAAAAACTCTACAAAGGTAGAAAAATGTACCTTTTTTTCTGTTTTCTATATTGATGTCAGTTTTGAGAAGATCTCAACGAGGTAGAGCGAGCTTCATGAAGTTCCTCCCTCAGCAGGCAGAGGGCAGTGTTGTGTCATTGCTGACATGATGAGGCGCTCGTCTGTGTAAATAAACTGGAGGGCCTCTGCACTGGTCCTTGAGCTGTCGTCAGGTTTCAACGGGCCTTAAGCCGGTTCAGAGTCATACAGAGCAGAATGATCTCGGTTCTTTTGGACTACATTATCGCCCTCTGAATGATGCCAATACAAAAACTAGGTCTACACCGTAAAAGCTGGTGAGTTCAGTGACAGCACTCCTGTATTTATGTAGACCTGCCTCACATGATGTCACGTTTAAATATACAGATATATTTATGATGTATTTTAATGTCACTGAGAAAATAAAGGGAAAATATTATGTCCGCTTGTATTTTTCAGGGTAGATTTGTTGAGAGGGCAAATGCATAAGATGACATGTAACATAAAATAGTAAAGTCAGCATAAAAACACAATTCTGAATCAAGTTTTTACATTTTAGTGAAGTTTTAAAAGCTTTTTATGTGCAACAGAAATTATGTCGTCAACATTACAGTCACTTTAGCTCTAAAACTACAAGTTTAAGCTCCTGGGTGGAGTTTTAAATTAGTTATGAAACAGACTGAAATTAAGGGCTAAAGAGCTCTGCAGAAACACACTGTTTTTTTAATTAAGTGTCACAGCAAAGGGTGAAGATGTAATTAGTTCAATAAAGACAAGTTCTGCAAAGAGATCAGAGATGCTGTGAAGTCCAGAAGGGGGCGCCAGAGTTCCTCACAGGAGGAAAATATCAGAAAGTGCAGTTGATCTGTTTCTAAATACCTGAAGCTCAGAGGGGAGTGACCGTTTTGGTTTTAACACAGACTTAAAAACTTTGCAGATACTTCATCAGATGAGACCAGAGTGTCCAAAGTCACTGTTGTTTTTAGGGATGTTACGATGAGACAAACTTTTTTAGTTGTGGTCTGTGGATAAGAAAACAGTCCAAATTAAGAAAAAAATGTATTAACACCCAAAAGAGATAAAGTCAGAGGGTGAGAGTATCGGACTGGTAGGCTGACTGTGGCTAACAGTAGCAGAGTTAGCACCACCCGCCCTCTGTCCTCCTTCCAGGTTTATTCCCCAAATCCTGTACTGGTCACACACCTGTAAGGCAGTTTAACCAAACACAACTTTAATAAACTTTATCTCTATTTCTTAGATCAAAATACTGACAAACTGCTCTAAGATGCCACCTGTTATCTGTGCTCGTTTACATCCAGGTAGTTGGGCATTATAACTTTATCTAGTGGCCATTATCCGGGAATTCCACAGGATCTGGAACGGCTCAGCTCCGTTTCAGACTGGCAGGCACATCGAGCATACAGGGCCCACCGGATCCGATCCGCCTCCGCCAACGGAGGAGAAGCGCTTGCGAGATAACCGTTATTTCTGATGAGACTAGATGAGATCTCACAAGATCTTGCGTGTTTCCCCACCTTGCGTATCTGATCCGGCCGATCTGCAGCAGAGTCAGATGGCGGACAGATTGTATGGAATGACACACATTTATTATAATTCTTGCAGATTTGATCCGCCTGCTGTGCCAGAGCAGAGTGGAGCTGTTCCAGATCCCTGTGTTACTGTGAGTTATATTATGTCTAAGAGAAGAATTTTCAGTTATGTGTGGATGCTCTGACTTTCTGACTTGAATATCTGAAGATAATACCTATAAGGCCTTCGTGGCGTTCAGCTCAGAGGTGAATCCAAACAAAGAGTAAGAATGATAATAGTTGAAGTTGTTGGCGGTCGGCGCTGTCAGAAGCTTGCATGCACGCATCAGATTTCCCCTGACTCCTTTGGCAGTTGTCTCTCTCTGTTTGTGGTCTGAAAACATCTCTGAGTGAATCCCTGAGGGGCTCTGATGTTGGATTAGATACACCAGAGAGCCACCCAGGCTTCATCATCACATTATACAACCCTCGGTAAGGGAAGTCTGGTTCAGCTCAATCCGGAGTGAAAGTGATAAAGACCATTTTCCCCCGTCAGGAGGGATGCTGCGTGCAGGGGTCAGGCTGCTGGGCTGTTTGTGGTTGAAGCTCTGCCATGGGAAGAAGAGGAACATCCACAGAGGTGACATGAACAGAGAACAGGAGGAGGGTTTTTGGAGACCATCATCTGACCCCTGCGCTGTTTTATCCACAATAACTGTGCAAACAACAACCTCACTCATTATGTTTGTACGGAGACACTGTAACCCCCAATTTTCACCACATCCAGAACAGCTCCGATCCAAAACATCTAGGAATTTTCGTCATCTGCCAATTCCTGCCGGAGCCGTTTGTGAGGCGAATTTCGTGGCGGATTACAGACAGCAGGAATCATGAAAACTCAAAAGAACTCTCTGATTATGAGCAATCGCATCAAGACAGCCACATAATCATAAAAGCAGTAGATTGTGTCCTTCCAGAGGAGAAAAACTACTTCTAGACTTCTAGAATCAGCATCTCCTCATCCATGGTGTCATCGAGGTGAAATGACGTCTAAAAACCTTTCACTTGTTCGTCTCCGCCCGTTTGCATGGTGTGAAATATGATCATCCTGAAACACTGGGTGTTTTATTTTGAAAAGAAACCAGATGTTTTATTTTTGTGTCTGTGCCCGACTTCCTTTCCAGCACGGGTTAATCTCTGCTGAATTTATCCAGCAAAAATAGAACTCTTACGATCAGCTGTGGAGTCCGGCGATCCGCAGCAGAACGGAAAGAAGCCGGTGGAAATTGACACGTTAACTTTGAAAGGTTATGATCAGCAGATACAGCGGTGGAATTTGGGGGTTATATGAACTCTAGGGGAAACTTTTAGATATATTTAGGACCTTGTTGGTATGTCAGTAAGCTACACAAATCCTTATTTTTTAGTTGAAACTAAAAGAAAAAAAGTAGTAAGTTCGTCAGAGGGGAGCAGCGATGTCGGCCGACGTTGGAGAGCGTGATTGAAGGGCTTCCGAGAATTCTCCGGCTTTGTTGTGCAGCTTCCTCGGAGCAGCAGTCAGAGGTAATGGCTTTAGCAGGGGCAGGTACACAAAGCTCCAGTGGCCACAAACCGGAGCTGGACAAACTTTACTGTTGACATCTGGAATTTCTTTCCTCTCTTTGCTTTTTTATTCTCTTCCTTCTCTTCTTCCTCTCTTCCCCCCGCCGTTTTGATTGAGGGCTGACTCGCTCGGAACAGAATCCGTCATCGTAAAAGCGTCAGCCGGCTAAATTTAGACATTTGTTTTCTGGTGCCTGCTCTGGCTCTGCATGTTTTACCACACATGATATCATGCCCTCCTGTGCTGCCGGTCTGACCGCACTCTGAACCCCTGAATGGTTTCTCTGGTTTACATACACATGCGGTAATTATCATAATGGAGGCTGTCACCAGCAATTTATCTCCCATCACAGATAATTTACATCTTATCATATCCTCGTCTACTGTGGTTTCTGACAGTGCAGACTGTGCATTAACCCGACATTACTCTGACTGAAAACCCAGAAATGCAGCGCTCACATCCTCATTATAAAGCGCAGAATGTCACTGCCAATCCATAACATGCTTTGGCTTGTGTCAGCTGGATATTCTGCTCTTAGTATTTCCACTGTGAGGGCATTTCTGTGCTCAAACTCAAGGTAGTTTCCATCCTGCGGTGATAAACTTAAATCTTGGATGTTGGTCCTTTTTGTTTACGACTCTTTTTAGATGAATTCACAGAATTTACCCGCAAAAATACGGTAACCCGCAGTGTTATAAATATGCCTCAAAAACAGTCGCACATTTAGGAATAAATCGGTTTCAAGTCCTGCAGTTTAATAAAATATCTAATGATAGAGGGAGTCATTTTTAAGGCTAGAGAGAGACAGAGAGAGCACATCTGGAATTTCTTTCCTCTCTTTGCTTTTTTCAGAGAGGAATTACGTTTGCATGTTAATGGATGATAATTGTGAGGTCACAAAAATATCTTCTCATTTCACTTCTTATATCAGACTTTTCCTGGAGATTTCCAACATGTTTCTTGCTCAGCAGACGGAGATTTGCTTAGTTGTTAAAGAAACTGATTTATTAAGCTTGGGAGTTAAAACATCCAAAGAAAACATGGCGAACTTTATCCAGCGAGGACCTGCTGATGGGATTCAAAGCTGTGAGCTTAGCCTCTAATTAGATATGTGAATTGGGACTTTTTATCTAATCTATAAAATCAAAACTATCACAGAATCTAAGATTGGTGGAGAACGTCTAACCTGACCGCAGAGAAAAAAGAGGGTTAGAAGACAAACACACAAGCAGCTGCAGAGTGAGAGAGACATCTAAGAAATCAACACAAACAGGAAGTTCTTCACATGTAAATGTTCATCACTGACACAGACACAGTTCGTCTCCGCCTGTTTGCATGGTGTGAAATACGATCCGCCTGAAACACGGAGTGTTTTATTTTGAAAAGAAGCCGGATGTTTTATTTTGTGTCTGTGCCCGACTCCCTTTCCAGCACGGGCTAATCTGTGCTGAATTTATCTGCCATGCTCCGGCGTCCCCAAAAAAAATAGAACTTTTGCGATCAGCTGTGGAGTCCGGCGATGCGCAGAGGAACGGAAAGAAGTCGGTGGAAATTGACACGTTAACTTAAATGGTTACGATCAGCTACGATTGGCGGATACGGCCTTTCCGTAGACGTTCCAGATGTTGTGGAAATCGGGGGTTATATGTGCAGCAAAGCCAAATAACAGTATCTCACACACACAAAGTTTACAGTACAGCCTGTGCGTGTTTTGTACTTTTGAATGTCATTTTCTTAACATGTACACACACACACACACACACACACACACACACACACACACACACACACACACTCGCATTAAACTGTGTAGACAGTCAGGATGCTGCTGCACAGACAGGACTTCCTTATTTTACTCTCTTGTCCTCCATTTTTCATCTCTTCATTTATGGAATCATGTGAGGAGAGGGTTCACCTGAACAATGTCAGTCTCCTGTCTACCTGCAGCTCTTCCACTGAACTAAAGCCCTGCTGATAAGTTATGTGCTAAACTGTCTGTAACACCATGACAGTGATGCTCTAATTTTCAGAGCATATTTTCTCCGTGTCCACTCTTACAGAAGATGTTCTCTGCTTTCGTGTGCTCTTGCCGTCCTCCTTTTTGCGTGTGAACAGCTCCGTTCCTTAAACTCCCCGCACCGTGCGTTGGGGAGTTGGTGCCCCTGCGTCTTGGAAGTGGAAACCCCAAAGAGTGTGTCCAGTGACTGAGGAAATGTTTGGCCCTGAGAGTCTTCGCTCCCCTCTGAGGTGTTTGTCGGCCAAGGCTGATCCTGACAGCCCTCGTGGGAGCGCGCTCTGTAGGCCTCTTCAAAGAGTCCCTGCTCCCAAAGCAGGAAGTCCAGCCCTGCGCTGCTTGGAAACAAGATGAGGCAGACAGGAAGGAAGGTAATCCATGAACACACAATAGCTGCTACTGTCCACACACACACACACACACACACACACGCACAAGCATATCCGATCAGTCCCTCCTGACACCCACAAAAACTCGGTTTTCCTCGGACCCCACAGGCATTTATCTTGATTTATGTCGTGTTTTGCGCTGCTGAACAGCCAAGGTGATCATAAGCAGCTCAGTGTGGATGATTCTGGTTTCCTGTGGCGTAGCTTTTGGCGTGCGTGCGTGCAAACACTCGAAAGGTCAGAGCAGAAAGCATCTTCGCCACAGTAGCAGCATGCAGCATTTGTGCCAGATCCTTTGTAAAATAAGCTGAAATTTGAATGAAATTTGTTACGCACGATCAAATATGATGGATGGGAGGTTACTGTTGGAGGCAGATTGATCTATCGGAGTCAAGTGGAAGAAGAAAAGCACAATGCTGGACGCAAGTGAACATCTCTGATTGTTCTTCATGGAAATAATGCTGCGTCCTGCTGCTGCGCTGTAGAAGAAGATTGATGACTGTCATTTTATGGACTTCTGCACAAGAAAAACAACCTGGTTTCGGGTTCAAAAGAGCTTCTGTATGAGGTTCATGTGCAGAAAAATTCAGAACGCCACAAATCCAATTACAGCCTGAAATAAAAACAAATCCAACCGAGTATCTCTTCTGTGAGGGAAGGTTTGGGCAGGTTTCAGCTGTTCCACCTTCAAACCACTAGAGAGCAGCCTTCAATTGATTTTCCACGGCTGGAGTATTTACTCACACTGCGGCTCAGAGCGAGCGAGACTGTGGCTGGAGCTCAAGTCTGAAGCTGTTGCCAATGAAATCAGTAGCCTGGCTCAGATTAGACAGTATGTGGTAATACTGTGGCAGCAGGGAAATTAGTTTCTGCGGTCTGGTGTCGGTGAGGTAAACTTTAGCTGTTTTCATTGTTACAACATGAGCCAACATGGAAGCTGGAAACCCAGAATGAAAGACAAGACAACATGTTTGGGGTCAGCTCACCGAGAATTGAGAAATTTCTGTCTTTCAGAGGAGAACAAGGGGAACAATTTGTCCTCCAAACCACCTCGTTCTGTCAGCGTTAACTCCCAATTCAAGCACTTAGCAGGAAAACTGTTGCTCAAGGAAGTTTCTAGAGGAGGCTTAAAGCTCCTGAGAGGAACTTTCAATCTTGGTTCCTGATATTTCATCACTGATTAAGTTCTGTTTGTAACTTTGAAGAAAGACGTCACAGCCTACTTTTTATTTATTTTTTATCTTATTTTCTCGTAACATCACACTCAGGCTGGGAAACTTGACTATGGTCATCATGTGGAGCCCGACAGAAATGCTCAGCAAAGGGCTGCAGTCATGCACTTGCTAACTGGCATGGCTACATAACAGCAGACGTTATTGACGATAAACCTGGGACGTAATTGTCTCGAGAAAGCAGCAACACCGGTGCCTCCTTAGCGAGCGTTTTCTGCTGCTGGACTGATTTTGACACCCGACTACGAGGACATCCTTTTCTCAAGAAGAACAAGTGTGGAGAAACCGGGACACTGTGAGTCTGAGATATTTTTCTACTCACTTCTCATGTTGCAGTAATTCCATGTTTGAGCATCGCTCTATACAACTATACGTGCACAGAAATACTTTATATAAACCCGCTGCACCTTGATCTTCAGCATGTTTAAGTATCTCAAAGCCTCTGTAAGTTTGTTCTGTTTTTGTCATAGGAAAGTTTTTAATTACTATTTTAACTTGGTGGATTCTGATAGATAGATAGATAGATAGATAGATAGATAGATAGAAAGATAGATAGATAGATAGATAGATAGATAGATAGATAGATAGATAGATAGATAGATAGATAGATAGATAGATAGATAGATAGATAGATGGATGGATAGATATTTACTTTATATAAATCTGCTACACCTGTTGATCTTCAGCATGTTTAATTATCTCAAAGCCTCTGTAAGTTGGTTCTGTTGTTGTCGTAGGAAAGTTTTTAATTACTATTTTAACTTGGTAGATTCTGATAGATAGATAGATAGATAGATAGATAGATAGATAGATAGATAGATAGATAGATTCATAGATATTTACTTTATATAAACCCGCTGCATCTGTTGATCTTCAGCATGTTTAATTATCTAAAAGCCTCTGTAAGTTTGTTCTGTTTTTGTTGTAGTAAAGTTTTTAATTACTATTTTAACTTGGTGGATTCTGATTAGATAGATAGATAGATAGATAGATAGATAGATAGATAGATAGATAGTATAAAGTATAAACCTTAGTACAAAGAATAAATAAAAACATTTATCCTGCTCTTCCTCATTTAATTGAACGTTTTTTGGTTATTTCCACAGATTCAAACCCAGCTGCTGTTTAACTTGAATAACTACAGACACCAAGAAGCCTCATGGGGAAGTCTTTGCTTCTGGAGCTGCCTCAAGTGGACACTAAAGGAACTGCAGGTTTGTTTGTTTTTTTTTCTAGTTTTATTTTCACCTCACTTTGGCTTCACTTTTCTACACTAGAAGTCGCTGCTCGGTCATGCCGTGTGTACAGCTCGTTGCTACCTCATCCTGGTGGTCTACAGCTGACCAAAAAACCACCACAGCTTTTCTCAGACCTCCTCGCTCCCCATGGTGTTTAGTTTAAAGGATGATCCAAACCCTGAATGGAGGAGTTGTGGTAAAAACTTGATTTAACCTCTCGGATGGTGTGTAGAAATCCGCCTGCTTGGGGAAATAGTAAACAGCCTCTCAATGCCAGATGATGGGAGGCCAGAGCCGTGGAGAGCCGTAATAATCCCTCACAATAGTAGGAAAGTGTTGCCAACACCTGATTCCAATCATATGTCATCATATGTGATTATTAGCACCTGTGGGTGCCCCCCTCCCCTCCTCCCTCCCACATACACACACAAGTATAACTTCTGATAGACTCTCAAACAATATGGACAATCATCTGATATTTTTCCGAAATTCCTGGTATTGGTATCATGTTGGAATGAAAAAGCTTTTCCTGATGGATCGGTCTGACAGTCAGACTTTTATAAGAGTATCTGAGCCAAATGTTTGCAACTGAACCATTACTGAAAATGCTGAGAGCTGCACACTCTGGTGTCCAGGAGTTACATTTTCCTGAAAGAACACTCATATTTTTTATTTCCATCGTTTGTTAATTGATTATCACCACTTTCATTTGCTGGTTTTGTCCAGCGTGCTGACTGAAGCATGAGGTCATGGATTTTATGAATTTCTGAGGTAGTTTCTGGAATAATTGGTCTGACCTGAGGTTAGTTAGTACCTCTGAAGTTCACATGCTGTGTGTCGGAGCAGCTTCAGTTATACTTCATACTGAAATGTTTTCTGGGAGCTTCTAGGGGTTAAACTATGACCAAACAGGACAGTTGTGTTTATTGTGAAAGCAGACTGAAATGGTGTGAAGGAGCCCCCTCCTCTCTTGCATTAATTCACGTCTTCGGGCTCTCCTGTAGAAGTGAAATGGCACGAGAACGTAGTGTGTACATGGAGCGAGTCATTTGCGAGAAACAGGCGAGTACACAAAAAACCCTGAGGCGTTAGAACATGCTAAATTTAAGTTCAAGCAACATTAAGGTCGTCAAAACCCGCTGAAACTGCAGAATGTCTTAATCCTGAGTTTTAAGTTTTACAGTAAAAACATGAACAGCAGCACATCGGTAATCTGCCAAACTAACCGAGAATTTAGCAAATAAGAAAACAGATGTTTCCCGTAGGAGCTGGCGGAGACCAAAATAGAGATAAAAAGACAACACATCGGTTTGATAAGGTGTTTACATGTCAGCGTTGTTTACAGTTTGTGCATCATGCTCAGATGGCTGTAAAAAAACAGTTAATAAAGGGTTAAATTTGAGGGAAAGTACCAACACTTTTCCCTTGGAGAGGACCTAAACACCATTCCTCTTTTATTTTGACAAGTTTTCACCGTCAGGAGGGCTGGCAGCACACTTTCTTCTGGCCAAACATCCTAAAAATCCAGTCCATTTGTCAAACTAGCAGCTTCTCACTAAGCCAACACTGCTAATGACTCTGGGTAACACTGTTGGCAAACTAAAGACTTAAAACCACTCCATCAATTTCACCCAAATCTCTCAGTGCCTGAAGCTGCTTATACAGCCTATTGTGTGAATAAACACTTCAGAGGGTAGACCTCTGATACAGTCAAACGTAAGGAAAAACATAAATTATTTTAGATTATGTGATTAAAAGTTGAAAGTGATATTTTTGCGTTTCTTATATTACACTCTGTGGTGAAACTTAATTTGCAGTGCGCTCATTAAACATGATGCAACGAGGAGAAAGCAGCCAGCTGGAGTGACAGAAACCAGTAGTCTTGTTTATTGGCTCCTATCAGTGTCTGTGTTTGTCAGCTGGGGAGCAGAGATTATCTCAGCGGAGGTCACAGCTTCGGGATCGTGGAGGAAATTCACTTGGCACACAGCTGCTCAGACCCAAAACTGGGTCCACTGAATCTCTAGAAGAAACATTTGCTCATAATGTTGCTTTATTTGAAGAACAGTTTCTTCTTTTCAATCCTCCGCCCGTGTTTTCCCGTCAGATCATCCCACAGTCTCACCCCCGCTCCTCCCCCCAGGACAGTAGCAGAGATAAGAAGCTCCCACAGTTCAGGAGGACCCAGGTGAACCCGGGGTCACTCAGGGCCACGCTGTCAGACTGGAGAGACTGATGGAGGGCTGTAATCCTGCCGGTGTCACTAAGATGGATCAGATGAAAACACTCACACACCTATAAAAACACACACTCACACTCATTCATACTGAATATATTA